CATCTCTAGAGACCATGATGATTCTGCCGCCAAAGTTCTCCTGCCGCAGAGTCTCTGCACAGATCAGCGATGCAGCTCCTGAGATCCAACATCCACAGTTAGATGACACCTTGTTAACATGCAACTTTAAATTATTCAATAAGAATACCAAATCTAGCTTAAGTGTAAATCGAGATTTTATTGATTAAATGTTATTCCATCATACAGGCTCTATAGCATTAATTCATTTAATTGGTTAATGATTGAATCCAAATGTTTCTTTGAAAATAAAATGTATTTCTTCTAAAAAGAAATAGCCAGGTTTACATGTCAGAGACTAGAAGTCAGAAGACTGGAGTAATATGGTTTTAAATTTGAGCGAAACAAATGTAATGACTACTGATTTTCATTGAAATTATTTCTTTGATGAGTTTTTTTTTTGTGTGTATTTCTATGTCTGCCGCATTGTTTTACATAACTTTGTTCTTGCACTTTATAAACAACAACAAAAAAAAAAAATCAGCAGCAATGCCCACTGACCTCCTCCAAGTAGAAGAATTGTGTGATTCACTCCCGGTACTGCAGTTCCCATACGCTGCAATCGTTTCTGAAGCCTGAGTTCCTTAAAAAATACAATAAATAAACATTCATTTTCTTTCATTTCTCCTCTTGGAGTGTTTATGATTTCTATTTTTCTGAGGGTATTTTAGATTCTTTTGAATGCAGTCCTCTATGCATCCTTATTTTCTCAATTTTTTATTTTGCTTCATGTTGTTTCAACAAAATATTATAATGACAGTAATAATTCTTTATTGCGTCACTCTTGATAATCTTAGATTTGTATGGTCTTCGAGATTTAGCAATAGTGATTATGGCTTTTTGCAAATGTAATTTTTTTCTTTTGTTAGAGCACAGGATATATCTTTGTAAACTGTAGCTTGTCTTGTTGTGTTACTTCTGGAGGAATGGCCTCTTCTTTGCTGAGCAGCCTTTCTGCCAATGTCAATAGTGGGCTTATTTTTATAATGACTTTATCTAACAAACTTCAGCCATCAACTTTAGAAGTTATTTTGATTTTGTTCTGACAAAACTTTTTTGTAACCAAACACATTCATTGCCACCCTAGGATGACTGAAAATTAGTTTCATTACCTAAATGCCTTTTGAAAAGGTAGTTTTACAGTCAAATGTTTTCAGTTGATTGCTTTTACATTTTGTCAAGAAAAAAGAAACATATTTTTGCTGAGCATAAGAAATAATTTCAACATAATTTAGTTGTGTAGAGCTATAAATTTGATATGTAAGATAATCTGTGAAGGAAAGAAACATACTTCTATAATCAGTGTTAAGAAAGTAGATCTTAGGCCAGCTTTTGAGTCAAAATAAATATTTTTCATTTTAAAGGATAACGTTGACTCCCTCATCAACATGAACAATAAAAAAAACAGCGATCCTCTGATATGGGTAGAGTTAACTCACTAACCTTTTTGTTTATGGACACATACACTTTGCTGTTTTGAATTCTGACCTGAAAAGAAGTAAAGGGTCAAATTAGAAACCCAGCAAATGTTGAGCTAAATGTGGATCCATCCCTCTGGTTTATACCTTGTGACAAGGTAATGAGTCTATGCCAGGAAACTCCTCCAGGTCTCCTGTGACGGCATTAAAACAAGAGCCATGCCAAGGACAACGCACTTTGTTTCCTGAAAGAACCCCTGATCAGAAAACAAAACATGACTGCTTTAAAACACACTAAAATGCACAACATTTACTATAGATTAAACACATAAGAAGACATGGATCTAGGTGAATAAATATGTATTCTTTTTCTTTGTTTTTTTTTTTTTTACCTTTGCTGAGTGGGGCACCGTAGTGTGTACACTGATTTCCAATGGCACTATATTTGCCATTACAGCGTGTTAACAGCACACTGTGGTCTCCGATGTCAACTTCCATCATCCTCACATCACACATGAACAAAATACAAATGTTAGTTTCATGTAGCCTCCAACTACCCCATGTTTTCATTTTCTATTGGCCCACTATGGTAAATTAAACTCACACAAAAATGATTTCTTACAATATAAAACACCATTTCTAACGCAATTTACACTTCAATAATACCCAACAGGTTTTATCCGCACTAATATGAAGAACAGATAGATTAAATATCAGATATAAACAACACTGAACTTGTTTCCAGAGAGCTGTCTCCCACATTATCCAGAACTGAATTTATTTTATGTTATTTAGTTCTCCTCTGCTTATTAAATAACTTATATCGCACCATTTATACAGCTTACTGCAGCTCAATTACCCTTTTACCCAGATCTAATTTAACATCCAGGACAGGCCTTGGTTTTGAGTTTTAATGGCTTTTAACATATGGGATCATTGTCTGAAACTTGACAGTTAAAAAGCATGAAAACTGAGCAACCCACTTAAATTATTTCTGATTCTAGACACCTTTCCCTCAATCTTTTTACAGTCAAAAGTCGTTTTATTTAAAATAGATAAAATTGGCTTTTCTTAGTCAGAAATTTATTTAACATTCTAGACATTTCATGTAAAAACTTCTGGTCTTGCATCAGTTGTAGAAAAAAAGTTTTATTTTTTCATAGATAATTAATTTTGAGGAATTATTTAATGTCATACAGATGTATAATATATTTTTACATTTTTTTTTTTACATTTTTACAATAAACCCATTTTGTAAAAAATGGCTTTGGCTAGAATAATTCAGCAACATAGACATACAGTCTATCTAAGGGCATGCTAACAAGTGTCAGCTGGATGTGTTGGCATCTTCAGATGTTTCAGGTAGAGTTGTTAGCATCGTATTACATCCATAATAAATGTTCTATTTAGAGGCTAATATGACAGATCCCAATGGGATTGGTTGGTCCAGGTACTGCAGAATCAGTTGACAGATGGGGGGCCAGACAGACTGGATGTTATGTGACTTCAGTCAGCTACCATGATGACCCCTTGACTGAGGATATTGTCAGGTGGTGGGAGAAGCACTTAGGGATCTCCCTCATCCAATTTCTATGTCATACATAGAGTCTGACAAGTCTAGGGATGTTTATCACTTACCAAGACAGTAAGAAAATTTGTCAAATACCAATATGTAAAGGGTGGACAAAACTTGCCTAGAAAGGCTAACGTTAGGGCTACTTGGCATTAATCTCGTATGTTGCATGGAGGACTGCAGCAACACCTACCAGCCTAATTTAGAAGGTTGGAATCGAGGAACTGTCCACCTGTCTGACAGTAACTCTGAAGGTCATACGGTCATAGAGCCCTAACCTCTCCATACCACTGGAGCAGTTCACTGCCAAGTGTGAATCAGTTGAGTTCAGCCCCTCTAGTTCTGAGGACATGGATCTCAACTAAAAAAAGATGAAATGGACCCTGCAGGTTAGAGGGACAGTCATTTGCCTAAAGGTTTTTGTATTTCGGTGTTTTTTTTTACTGGTGACCAGTGGTGTGATGTAATGTGACCTTCCTCTCATCTACCATAATGAGGATAAAGCCTAGCCAGTAGGCACAGCTCGTGGTTTTTGATCCATTTACATTTTGACTGTCACCTGTTTTGGGAGCTATTTTTGGGTTAGGTTGGGATGTCCTTCAATCTATCGAGGGTTTTATCTTGCCTCTCACCCTGTGACTAATGGTTATAGCCATGTAGACAACAGATGGATTAACTTGTCAGTTTGCCTACAAATTTCAGCATGCTTACATATTTTGTCAAAACTTGTTAGCATGTCTACATTTAGCCTTAATCCCAACAACACAAAGCTACGATTGGCTGAAATGTTCAAAATATATACAGTCTAATGAACAGCATGCTCGATTGCTTTTTATTTCTATTTTTTACTTAATTTATTCTTCCTGTTCTTTTTTGTGGTTATAAAGGGACATTTTGGCACATGTTGGTAGGCAGACACAATGGTTATAAAATACTTTTGAATTCTAAAATCATCACAATTCCTCTTACTGTCCATCTCGAAGGTCTGTCTCCAGACACACCACTGCTGTCAGTTCTTCTTTGTCTTCGGGATCAGAGTCTGTAAGCTCACCACGGGCTGAACAAATTATTGTCAAAGCGCAAATGAACTCTTTTACATCTTAAAGAAAATGAGCTTTGCAGAAAGGACAGAAGGGTTGCGGCTGTTGAAAAATTGTGACGCAGAAATAAACAACTTACGTGCTTTGGTCCCAGACATTTCACTTTCAACTGTAATGGCACATATAAACTAATACAGTCCAACACTCCTGTGGAAGCAGTTAAATATGTTGTCCAGCGTCAGTTTGCCTTCATCTGAGCAGATAAATGAAGGCAGGTCTTTTCCACACCGACTGGTCCTTCCTTAACCTGCATTATCTAGGCCTGTAGCTTTGCAAAGTGCACTATTTTGATCTGATAAGAACACATAAATGTCGTGAAAAGTCACCCTTTTTGTACCTCTGGTGAATGAAGAGTTTCATTAGCTCTGCCGGTCATGTTCAGTCTCATCATCCCATAGAAAGGCAGTGTGGTCTTTTGTTCCCCAAAGCCAGGGGATGGTGAAAGGCTGACGATGCTGAACTGCTGAATTGACAGGCAACAAAGCACCACACAAAACCAGAGGTGGCCGCTGTCATTCAGACACTTAGCAAAGTTTAAATACTAAAAATACTAATAGTGTGCTGTTGTGGAGGAAAAAATGAAGCCTAACAGACTCAAAAAAGGATAAATTACAGGCTCAGATTCCTGGAGGATATGATTCTTTTTGTTTATTGGGAACTGTAAAATCTTATTCTTAATTTTTATAATTCCCTTATTTAATTCTACATATTTCCCCTTATTAAAATAATTCCCTCTAACATCTAACATGAGCATAAACCTGCAGTCTGTGTTTCTATCCTCTGCTTGTTACTGCAAGTGAATCATCAAAATAAAAACAGCATCTGTGACATTTTTTTTTAGTTGTTTTATTTCAAACATAGACAGCATACATCTTTAAATACCTGAAAGTGCATCATTGTCAAACATTGAATCAATTTAAACTCATTTTTGAATTAATGGAAAAAGTGAGATAACATGCATCTAACATCCGCAGATATCTGATGTGCAACATGAGCTGCTACATCATGATCCTCTTCTCCTGGAATAGTGTGACCAACGAGGGACCTTTGCAGCTCTTGTTGGTTTGTATTTCTTCCAGAACACGTGGCAAGCGTATTTTCCCTGTCTTGGACTCAATCTCATTGTAGGGACACACCTTCAGATGTTCAGAGATGGACGGGACATCTGTGAAACTCCAGGAGTCCACAGGAGAAAACAGGGAGCTGAACTGCCACACCTGAAGAACAGCAGAGTACCACTAATAAGAGTCTGATTCTAAGATTCAATACTTTAATACTATCTAACTTAGTTTATTATCTTCTTTAAATCAACATTCATCCCTTACCTTTCGTGTTGCCCTCCACCTGGCTGGCCCATGTGAGGAGCTGGTCTTCTCCCAGCAGAGGGTGACCATCCCTCTTTCCTGAAGCAAGGAGGAACAAACCTGCCTCATGAGCCTCGACACCAGGGCCAGCTGCGACAGGGACAGACTGTCCAGAAAACTGGCCACATGACACAAGACCTCATAGGGCAGCGAGCTCAGAGAATCCTCCCTTCCTCCGCTTTGACCTCCTGCACTCTGGAAGGACGGGGCTTTGGGATGTAGGCTAAAGCAGCCTAGCTCCTTACTGATGTAAACAACAGATGATTTACTTTATTAATATCTGTATTTTTCTATTAAAGACAATTGAATATTCATTCTAAACAATACATTTGTGTTATTTTTATCTTTTATATTGTTTTTAAAAGCTCCTGACATTTAGGTTCACTTCCTGCCATGTTCACATTCCTGAGTTATTATTATTATTATTTTTTTTTTTGTGTGTGTATTTTTAACAAATTAGATTGTCATAATTGTGATTGTCTTTAATGGTGCTGTTAGGCACAAACAAGGAATCTGAACTCAGCTTTCCATAAAACTCACTGTAATCAAAACCAGTTCAATAAACAGCCAAGGTACAAAGAACGCCTAAATCAGATAAAATGAACAATACTTTCATATCAATAAATAAATGAAAGAATGCTGGTTGGAATAGTGACATAGGGACCCCTATTTTATCATTCTGCTTCATTCTATCTCTATTCTCCCACTCTGCAGAATCTGTTAGTTCTGTTAGTTCTGCTTTTTCTCATTGTAGCTGCCTAATCTGTTCCTGTTCGGCTGTGACTCCAGCTGTGCTGCTGCCATTAACACCTTTGTTTATACAGTAGATGTTGGAGATCGGCCTGTTTTTCAGTGTAGTCCATTTTCTCTAACTGTGACTGGCTGGATGTGCTCTCTTCATCCTCTGACATGGGAGCTGGCTTGGAGCTCGTCTGCCTGGCTGTGTGTTTCCTGGATGGGGCCGCCTTTTACAGCTGCTTTTTGTATCTCTGCTTCTGTCTTCTTGAACCCCAGTCGGCCTCAGCAGATGGCCGTTCACAGTGAGCCTGGTTCTGCTGGAGGTTT